TATTTCTTAGTTTTTTCATATATATATTGAACGGATGGAGCCATGTAAGTTAAAGAATTTTTTTTTTCTTTATAATTATATGATAAAAAATATCTATTGGGACGAAATATTTATTATATATTATATTTCACTATTTTTATTTTGCAGGATACATATTGTAAGGAAGGCAATAAGGAAGATAATATAAAAGAGTTATTTAGTATAAGATCAAACAGATCATTAACTGAACGTAAACAAAGAAATAATGGTAAACCTCAACCTTCTGTATATGTTAATAATGGTGAGGAAGAATATTATGAAGAAGAATATTCAGAGGAGGAACATTCTCCAGATGAATATGCTGATGGTGAATATTATGATGATGAAGGAAATTACGAAGAAGGAAATGATGATGAAGAATATTATGAGGAAGAAGATGATAATTATAATAGCATTTTAGAAAAGTATAATGGTTATACATTAAAAAGCCGTGGTGTATCATCAGTGCTAAAATCTGTTATAAATGGTTTTGCTGAAACATGTAACGATGTAAAAGAAGCAGTGAAACCTAATATAGATACTTTAAAAGATACCCTTTCAAGTGGTATAACAAATATTGATAAACATGTTTTAAGCAATGTTTCTAATATAATAAATAAAATAACAAACGGTGATGAGGAAGATAATGAAGAATATGATCTGTATGATGAATATAATGAATATGATCAATATGATCAATATGATCAATATGATCAAATGTCTGATGAAATGGAATATGAAGAGAATGATAATGCTCCTCCTAGTCCTAATCTTATGAAAAGGGCATCAAATTACGTGCACAAAGATCCATGTAACATAAATTCTAATACTGTAAATAAAGAAAATGAGTTTTCAAATGCTGGAAAGAAATTTGTAGAAGAATATAAAAGTAATACTAATGATGATATGAATAACACAGTAAATACTAGAAATATTACATCAGATGAAATTAAACGTAAGATCGATAATGGTATGAATAACATAGTAAATACTACAGATAATGCATCAAATGAAATTAAGAGTAATACTGATGATGATGTAAATAACATGACATATACTACTACGAAAAATTTTGTAAGTGAATTTAAAAGCAATTCCGATGATGGAATAAATAAAGATTCATATAGTACTAAAAGTTATGTAAGTGAGTTTAAAAGTAATTCTGATAATGGTATTAATAAAGAAATATGTACACCAAAAATTTTTGTGAGTGAAGTTAAAAATAATGATGATGAAGGTATTAATAAAGAAATATGTACACCAAAAATTTTTGTGAGTGAAGTTAAAAATAATGATGATGGAGGTATTAATAAAGAAATATCTACAACAAAAAATTTTGTAAGTGAATTTAAAAATAATTCCGATGGAGATATTAATAAAGAAATATGTACACCAAAAATTTTTGTGAGTGAAGTTAAAAATAATGATGATGGAGGTATTAATAAAGAAATATCTACAACAAAAAATTTTGTAAGTGAATTTAAAAATAATTCCGATGGAGGTATTAATAAAGAAATATCTACCACAAAAATTTTCGTCAGTAAATTTAAATATAATGCTGATGGTGGTATTAATAAGGAATATTCTACTGTAAAAAATTTTGTAAGTGAATTCGAAAGTAATACGGATTCATTTATGAATAAGGAAACTTATACTCATAGAACATATGTAAGTGAATTCGAAAGTAATACCGACTCTTTTATGAATAAAGATCCATATACTCCTAAAACATTTGTAAGTGAATTCGAAAGTAATACAGACTCTTTTATGAATAAAGATCCATATACTCCTAAAATATTTGTAAGTGAGTTTAAAAACAATTCTGATAGGGGTATAAATAAAGATTTTAGTAGAAAAGTAAGTATAATAAATGAAATTAAAGATAATAATATGAATAATAAAAATATGGAATTAGGTACAACAAAAAATGTATTAAGTGAAGGTAAATATAGTAATGATAATGGCATGAATAAAACACCTAGTACTAATACAAATATTAATAGTGAAAATAATCAAAATACTCATAATAAGAGTATAAGTTTAGAAAATACTAAAAGTCATGTAGAACAAAATGTAAAGACACATTCATCAAACCATTATGAGAATGAAACTAATCATAAAATGCATAATGCTAAAGAAAGAGAAATTCCAAAAACAGATAGAATCAATAACAATAACCCTAAACCAAGTGTTAGTGAAATTAATGAAAATGTAGAGGAAACAAGAAAACATATTCCACATGATAAAAATTATAAACATCCTACTCATCAAGAAAAGAAAATAGAAAAAGAAATGAACATTCACGATGGAATGAAGGGACAAAAAGATGGCTCTAAAAATATAGGATCATTTTCATTACAAGGAATGAGAAAAGATTTTCCTTATAAAAATGAAAATAATGAACATTCAGGATTAAATATACCACAAAATATTCCAGTAAATAATAGAAATTTAGGAAAAGGATGTACTGTACATGAAGTAGGTTTTATAGGTGATAGTTCTAGAAGTACTATGAATGATACAACACAAAATGTTAAAAATAAAGAAAAACACAATTCTGGATCTTCTAAAGGAAAAGAAAAAAGTGAAAGAAAAAATGAATTAGATAAATTAAAATCTGACCTTGGGAATTTAAAAAATAGTTCATTTAAAGAAGAAAAAAATGAAGCAGATAGATTAAAACTTAATTTTGGAAGTTCTAAAGAAAATGAATCGAAAAAAGAAAAAAATGTTCCTGATAAATTAAAAATTGAAAAAGATGCTAATAAAGGTAGTAAATTAAAAAACACGAATAATAAGGAGAAGGAAGTAAAAAATAAATTTAATGATACTAGAGACAATAAGTCACAAGAAAAAGAAGATAGCCATAAGCAAGTAGAAGGTAAAGCTGTTGATAACAAAGAAAAAACAACAGGAAAAAAGGAAGATAATCACAAGGAAGGAAAAGGTAAAGCCGTTGATAATAAAGAAAAAACAACAGGAAAAAATGAAAATAAGGAGAAGAAGGTAAAAGGTAAAGCAGTTGATAATAAAGAAAAAACAAAAGAAAAAAATGAAGATAATGAGAAGGAAGTAAAAGGTAAAACTGTTGATAATAAAGAAAAAGCAAAAGAAAAAAATGAAGATAGTGAGAAGGAAGTAAAAGGTAAAACTGTTGATAATAAAGAAAAAACAAAAGGAAAAAATGAAGATAATGAGAAGGAAGTAAAAGCTCAATCAAGTAACACAAGCAAAAATATACTAAAAAAAATATTAAGATAATAAAAAAAAAAACAAAAAAATAATCGTAAATTAATATTGATGATACCCAAAAAAAAAGAAAATAAATAATAATAATAATAATAATAAGTTATGAATGCCAAAAGGAATCACATTGAAAAAACAAATAATAGTTGTATATAAAAGACAATTCAAGGTTATGAATTATAAATATAATTATGGGGAAAAAGGAAAAAGTTTTGAATAATTTAAAATTTTACAGAAATCACGAATATTATGATGATGATAAATGTAAAGTTAATAAAACATTCTGATGAAGTTGGATCATTATAAATATATTTGTATCGTGTAAATAATTTATGGATTTAGAAATATTAAGAGGAAAGGAAATAAATCTAGAATATTACACATAGGAAAATAAGAATAATATTTTTGATGGATTGGATAAAGTAAAAAAAGTAAAATTCTTAAGTCAATAAAACATCTTATTGGGAAACTATTCTCTTCTAATAATGACTATTATATAAATAATATGAAAAGTCTTTTATAGTAGAAAAAATAAAGCAATAGATGTAGAATTGGATTTTGGTTGTTATTCGGAATATAATAAAATGAAATAATATCATTTCATTATTTTATCTTATAGAAAATAAAAATTTTATTAAGTGATATTTTTAAATATTAATACATTAAGTATATTAAAAATTATATATATATATATATATATATATTAATTATACTACATGTTGTTTAGATGATGAGAATTATATACATAAATATTTAGTTCTATGGATACACTTCTCTCAATTAAATATATATGAATATTAATATATATATTTATATATTTTATTTTTCAATATAAATTATTAAAGAAGTGTTATTATGAATGCCAGTAGTAAAATATAAATATATATATTTTTTTATAATTTTTATATTATATTATATTATATATATCTATTATTATATAATGTGTTATTTTTAAAGCATATTTATTATACAAATAATTAAAAATAGTATATTAATATTATATATGTATGTATTTATTGTCTTTTTGTAATTGTCTGATATTTTCTTTTTATTTTGATTTTGTAAATAAAACAATTACATTCATTAATATATATATATATATATATATATATATAAATACGAATGTTTTATGTTTTTATTACTTCTATGTTTTTTTGTTTTATATATATATATATATATATATTTGTTATATAAACTATTTTACATATATATCATACAAATTTTTGACAAAAACTGTGTTAATATAGTTTAATTAAAAAATATAATATATTTTTTTAATATATGAAAAAAAAAAATACAATTAAGTGTTGCTAAATTTTTCTTTTTCTTTTTCTTTTTTTTTTTGTTTTTATAAAGTTTTTTGTCTTATTTAATTTTTACATAAAGTTAAATAGATGATTTATTTTAATATATAAATTAAATAATCGATTAAAATATATAAAACATAAAAAAGGAAACAACATATGTTTTTTTTTTCTTTTTTTCTTTTTTATGTCTTTATATATATTTTATATAGAAATTTATGGATTACATATCATTAATAATTATATAATATAATAAAAAATGTATACGTATAATTATATTATATATTTCAAAAAAGTATCAAAATATAAGGTAATATATATATGTTTATGTATTTTATTATTCCTATATATTTATTTGGAGTAATGTAAAATATATAACTAATATAAAATAATGTTATAGAAATGTTTATATATATATGTTTAAAATTTTTTTTTTTTTTTTAAAAAGTTCATATGAAAATTTAAAATTTAAGTTGTAATTAAAAAAGAAAAAAAATAAATAAAATAAGATAAAAGGAAAGGAAGAATCTTCCCATAAATGGAGGTTTAAAAAAAAAAAAAATAACAAGCTGTTCGTATTATTTTAACAAAAACTATAATTAATACAAATATATATATATATATATATATTCATATGAACCTAAAAAATACTTATAGATATAAGTATCTTTATAAAATATATATGTATTTATATTTATCCAAATCAATTTATCCTTATAGTATATAATTTAGATTTTATTTTTTAAATATTTTAATATATATTATTTTATTTTTTTCAGTATTCTATTTATATGACATATTTCTTCTTCAGTCAATTGCAACCATTATAGTAATTAGGGTTAAGCTCTTTTAATATTTGTGATAGTCTTTATATTTTGATATTATCAATTTATTCATTCTGTTACTTAAAATTTTATTATTTTATATTGTTTATTATTATTATAATTTTTTTTTTTTTCATGTACTCAATTTAGATGTTTATATTAAAATTATTTCATATATATTATGATGTATTTATTTATTTATTCATATTTCTCTTTATATTCCTGTTAAGTGTGTTATAACGTTTTAATATAATAAGGTATTTAAAATTTTGGGACATTTTTTTTCATACTTAAATGTATCTGAGTCATTCTATAAAAAAGAATTTTTTTTAAAAAATGGAAGAAACAAAAAAAAAAAGAAACATATTATATGTACATACATATATATATATAATAATTAAGTTTAAATATTATGAATTTCTATAAGTTGATATTGTTGAAAAAAACAAAAAGAAAAAAAAAATTTTTTTTTTTAGATTTTATCTTACATTATTAATATTTATAGAAGCACATTGTTATACAATAACACTTAAAAAAATTTTTTTAGCAATAGCGGACAAGATATTGAACCTTTTTTTTTTCTTCTCATTCTTTATATTTGAGTTACTTGTATGAGTACCACATTTTGTTATACATTTAATTATAGGTTGGCTTTTTTTATGGTTATTGTTATCTTCTGTATTATTACTTTTTTTTGACATATTTATATGATAATTTAAGAATAAAAAAATATATATTGTTTTTTGTTTTAAAGCATATAATTTGTGTATATTTAATTAGTAAAATGGATAAAAAAAGTTTGAGCAATAATATTGTATTAGTCGTTTCAAAAAAAAAAAAAAAAATATGAAATATATATATATATATATATATATATATCTTTATTTATTAAATAGTTTTATTTTTTTAAACATGTAAAATTTATATAATATAAGAAAAATAAAAAAAATTCATTAATGTAACCATAAAATATTTAAAATATAAATAAATATAATATATATTAAAATATATACATTAATTTATACCAAAGGTATTGTAGTTGTTATAAAAGAATAAATCTAAAGATTTTAGAAATCAAAATAAATTATAAGAAAAATAAATATATAGAAATAATATTTAATAAAAATATTATTATATATACAAATTCTTCTATATCTATAAAATTTTAAGAAACATATATATTATATAAAAAATGAAATACTTAGAAAAAAATAGACTTATTTATAATTTTATATTTATAAAATATATAAAAGGTAATTTTTTTTTTTTTTTTTTTTTTTTGGTACATATATATATAATATATATATAAATATTATTTATATATATATTATTATAAAGGTAATTTTTTTTTTTCTATATTAATATTTTAAAAGGTTATTAACATAAATTTTTGTACATATATAATTTTTTAAACAGATCAATAATAATAAAATTTTGAGGTCTTGCTGCGCAACCAAATTTGTGATATATTATATATATATATAAAATAAAATAATAAAATAAAATAATAATATTTTTAAAAGGTTTTATTATATTTTATAAAATGCCTCAAGATATAATTTATGTTATGTTTTATCAAGAGATATATATATAATAAACACAAAAATAAAAAAAAAAAAAAAAAAATGGTAGCAAAATATTATTTTTATATGTATGTATTTATTTATATATCTTATTTTTTAAAAAATGTGAATAAATTTTTATTTTATATGCAAAAAAAAAACGTTTATAAATAAAATAATATTTTATTCAAAATTAATTAATTTTGATCTTTATATAAAAAATATAAAAAAAAATAAGAATATAATAATTTTAACGAATTGTAATCTTTTAATAAACCAATAAAAAATATAAAATAAAGAGGAGGTTTATAAATATTAATATATTTTATTATTATATATATTGACATAAAAAAATAGGATGAATTAAAAATAAAATCTTTATATTATAATATTAATTATTATATAGTATAAACTATACGAAATTTTTATATATTTATATTTTTTACCGTATGTATATATATAATATATAACATGCATAATAAATATAAAATTTTAATTATATATATATATATAATAATATTTATAAATATAATATATATAATAATAATATAATATTATTTTATTCCTTATTATTATTATAACAAAAAATAAAAAAATTTAGAACCAACATAATATTTATTATTTATTATATTAAAAATTATTATTGTATATTATTATTTAAAGCAAAGAAAATAAATGAGAATTTTAAAATATTTCTTACATATTATTTATTAATTTTTTTTTTTTTTTTATGTTTTTTAAAAATAAACAATTTTATGCAAGCCCAAAAAAAATAAAAAAAAAATGAAACCTATTTTGTTATTATATATATATATATATATATATATATATATATATATATATATATGTATATAATAAATATGCAACCTTAAAATATAAATATAATTTTTAAACATTATTGAGGCTAATATAAATTAATATATTTTATTATTTACAAAATGTAAGTACCACCAAAAAATAAAATAAAATAAAATAATAAATGAATTAAATGAATAATTAATTATTCTAATATTATTTAATTATAACATGAATATGTGATATTCTTTTTATTATGTTATCAACTAAATATATTAAAAAAAAAAAAAAAAAAAAAAGGATGTATTTTCAGTTTATATGGTAACATATTTGAAAAATATATATGTCACATTATTATTATTATTATTATATATATATATATATATATATTACAAAAGATGTGTTCATTCTAATTTTCTATATAAAATGGTATATATTTTTTTTATTAAAATTATATAAATTATTTTATATATATTAAAATGGTTGTAGTCTTAATATATTATGAAAGAATTGTTCCAAATGTTTCTGATTATAAAATTATTAAAATGTGTGTAAAATAAATAAAGAAAATCAACATATAAATAATAAAAGAATAAACAAAAACCATTTTATTAAGTAACAACATTTTAAATTAAATAAATTATATAAATCTTTGTGGAATTTTAAAACAGTATACTTTTTTTTCCATTTATTTTTTATTTTATTTTTTAATCGTTATAAGTTTTTACATAAAAAAAAATAAAAAATTACAAGTATCACACTACGCAAATATTTTTAATTTTTTTTTGATATGTATAATTTTATAATTTATAGCCGTTTTCAATTTTTTTTTCTTTTTTTTTTTATTACTGTTTAAAAATATTAATTTTTATATATATAATATGTAAAATATATAAGTATATATTAATACAATATATAAATATATATATATATATATATATATATATATATTTTTTTTTATAATTGCCTTAATATATAAATGTTTAAATAAAAAATAAATGATAAAATGAATAAGATTATAGGAATATAAATATATATTTTTTGTAAATATTATATAATTTATTTATCCCCTTTTTTTTTGTTTATTTTTTTTTTTTTAATTATACGTATACACGAAAAAGCATTTATTATATATTTTACTTACATGTAAACTTTAAAATAAAAATGGTATATTGTGTAGTATTTTGTAAAATATTAAATATATTTATAATAATTACAAAAAAAAAAAAGAAAAAAAGAAAATTATATAAATTAAAATAAAATAAAATAAAATAAATAAATGAAAAGTATATATATTTGTAATATTATCTTCATTATATGATAATATATCCATAAAGAATAACTTATTTTCTTTTTAAAAAAATTCAAATTTAAACTTGCTATTTTTATAACTCACCCTTAAAATAAATATTAAAACTATATAAGTATATATAAATATATATAAAAAGTATACATATATTATTATTGTACCTTATTTTACAATAAATGAATAATTTTGAAAAAAAATATTTTTTGGACGTGATATTTTGTATTTTTTTTTAATATAAGACGAATTTAATATATTTATTATATTAGAGAAATAAAAAAAAAAAAAAAACAAGAAAAATTAAAAATATTTTGTAAATATATATATATATATATAATATAATAATATATTATATATATTTTTTTTAAAAAAAAATAAAAATAATGAATTTAAAGTCCATAGGTTCACGACCAATTTTTATTTTTTTTAATTTATGAATGTTTTTTTTTCGTACTTTTTTTTTTTTTTTTGGGTTGATATTTTTAAAATTTTTAAGTATATATAAAAAATTTAATGATGTTACTTTTATTAATATATATATATATATATATATATATATATATATATATATTAATAATATATAATATTATTATATAATTATTATATTATAAAATAATAATTTATTTATTTATTATTTATAAGATTTTAGTAGAGAACCTACAAAAAATATATATAACATATTATATTAATAATTTTAAAATATAACGTATTTTTTTAAAAATTTTATAAAAATATTGCAAATTGAATATTTTTTCTCTCTCTTTTTATAAAATATATTGGGTTTATATCCTTTTTTTTTTTTTTTTTATATACGTAAATAAAAAAAAAATAAATAAATAACTTTTAAGAATATCAAATTGAATACTATAAGAATGAATATAGCTTTTATTTATTGGAACTATATTTTATATATATATTTTTTTAAAAATATTTGAAAAAATATGTATATAAAAGAAAATATTGAAATTCATAATATATATATAATATAAATGTAGATTTTTCTTGATTATATATATATATATATATATATATATATATATATATATATATATATATATATTTGTAAGATTTATTTTATTTTATATATTATATATATAAATAAGAAAAAGGAATATTATTAAATAAATGTTGTTATATATTTATATAATATATTCCGGTTTTACTGGATTAATATGGAAATGTATTATAACCTTGCTTTATAGTTAATTTATATATATATATATATATATATATATATATGGTAAAAGGAAGCTGTAGGAAAAAAATATGAAAAAAATAAATATAAATGTAGAACTATATGAAATATTATGATAGACCTTACATATATATATATATATTTTTATATAATAATACATTCTTGTAAACTATAATTTATTATATTTTTCATAATATATATTATATATATATATATATATATATATATATTTTAATGTATGATTAAAGATATTATTTAATAATCATTATTATATAGTTATATTTACATTTTGCTCATTTATTTTTAATAATATTTTATTATATAATTTATATTTGACGTTGTATTTTTTTTATCCTTTTTTTTTTTTTATAACTTTGTAATATAATGTAATGTATTCATATCCGGATTTGTTATATGTATTCCGATCCCCCAACTGTCTTCTGTAAAATTCCCGTATTATTAATAAATAAATAATTAATATTAGGTATTGTTGTATATATATATATATATATATATATATATATATATATATATATATGTATATATATATATAATTTATAAATTAAAATTGTGTATGTTTAAAATATATATAGATAAATATTATACATTAATATATGCATATATATATATATATATATATATATATAAGATACTTAAGATATAATTTAGATTCCCTTATCGTTAAGTGTATTTATGAGAACCATTCCATAACAAAAAGAGTATAAGGACAGGAAGTATTTTTATATTAGATTAAATATTAATATTGTGTTATAATATATTATAGTAATATAAATTAGAATATGCTTCTTTTCAAGGATTCCCAATTTTTGTTATCAAAAAAATCAATACGTTTGAATAATGTCGTAAATAATAAGAAATCATCGATTAATTTATTCAATCATAAGGAATTTAAGAAATATGATAGCAGAAATTTTGTAATATTTTTGTCACCGGTGTATTCTGCTTTTTCTGTTCTTATAATTGTTGTTTATATTGTAATACTAGTAAGTTATATATTAAAATTATAAATATTCATGAATTGTTATTATATAAATTATTAATATATATATATATATATATATATTAAGATAATTACAAAATATATATTCATATACTTATATATTTATGTATAATTATATATATGGATATTTTTTTACTTTTTATTTTCTTATAGAATATATTTTCACAGGAGTATGCTACAGCTAAAGGACTTCCAATAAACAATAGATATTTGAGGAACTTGGGAGAAAAATCTGAAGAAGGTGGTATAAGTTTTATAGACCTACATAATACATTTGCGCCCACAAAATCCTTTATTTCGGGTAGCTATAATATTGAAGCTCCAGAAAAAAAAGAGAATCCCAAAGTACCATCCGGATCTTTTTCGTATAGACCAGAAAAAAAACAAGATAGTTTTGAAAATGAAGGTTATAATAGAGCACCATCAGGATCACTTTTTAGTTCACCTGAGAATTTCCAAGGAGGTTATAAAAATGAGGAGAATCCTAGAGGAC